CCCTTTTTATAAGTGCCTTTCAAGAGATTAATGCGAACCGTTTAAGCAAATATATAAATATGCTCACCAAGAAGCAGGCTCCTTGTGTGACAGCTATGACCTTGGAACTTTGTGACACATCCCCTCAGCTGGGTCTGAGCTAAACAGCAGTGGGTATGTTGCTCCTCTTCCTCCCAGGGACTGCCGTGACACCTGCTTTGCAGGCACCTCACTTCACCCGAAGAGATCCCAGGCAGAGGATCCACCACAGCAGCATCAGAGGTGAAGGAAGAGCAAGCCAGTTCCTTTCCCCTTTCCCAAAATTCCCATTTATTTCCAGGTTTCTGCTAAATCAGATGTTGTCCAACACCCCAGCACTCTGAGCTGGGGTCTCTGGCTTACTTCCACGGCGTGTGGCTGTAGATGGCATCCCCTCTGGCTCTCCTCTGTCATTCCCCTGGGCAGGTGCGTTGAGCCTCTCCAGATATTTATAGGCACATGCAGTCTGCATACAGCTATGTTCTCTATTTGCATAAAATGCCAAGCATGAAATGAAACCAGGCTGTCATTAATCAAGGGTTTTAGAGAGCTAGAGTTTTTCAGTGAGGTTTTTGCTGAGCCTGGGCTTCAACATTTTCACACTTCCAAAGTGCAATTAATAGCTGTTCGGAAGTTTTAACAAATGCGAAGCAACATCTCCTAGTTTTAGTTAGTGGTGGATGTGGGTGTGGGTAGAGGATAAAGAGGGGCTTTTGGAAGTGTTTTTCTTACTCGGAACGGGGCGAAACTCATCCATGTCACCAGCCTGCTGCTTCCTAAAGCACATGGAAAAAAGTGGGGCTGGTTCTGCCAACCCCACTCATTCCAACAGAACTTCATCACAATCAGCTTGAGTCTTCACAGTGCTGTAAATAAGGTCTTACTTGGTAGCATTAAAAACCGAAAGTGCTGAGGGACAATAATCTCCAATGATAAAGAAAACAGCTAGACCTGCATTACAAATTAAAATAAATAAATAAATAAAATAATAAGTTTCTGTAAGTGACAGTGCAATTTTGAATTAATGAATGTATAAAACAATTAAAAGACACTACCAGATAATTAGCTCTTTGTCCTCACACATCTTCAAGTCCAGGGCAGGTGAGGACTAAACCACCAGTTTGCTGAGGTGAAACCCACTGGGTATTTCATACAGAAATACAGAAAGATCTCCTCACCAAGGGCAACAGCCTAGGTGCATAGTTGTTGAGGTGAGGTGGAAGCATGTTTTGGCCCATGAGGTGGCCATGTTGTATTTTTAGGCTGTTTTTAGGTTAGGGAATTGTTACAGAAATAACCCTGCATGGGCTGATTCCCCTGCAGCTGCACCAGGGCTAGCAACAATGGGAGCCTCAGTATAGACAGCTTCAGCTCCAGCAGCCGTTTTCAGCACTGTATCAGTTAACCCTGCTCTGAGGAGGGTTAATTGACACAGTGCTGCAAATGGCTGACGAGATGAAAACTCATATATTATGACTCCCAGCATCCCTAACAATTGTGCAGCTGCATTCATATGAGCAATGGTGGGAATTTGGAGGAGGGAAGAAAATTCCCTTGTGCAGACAAGGCCTGAGATCGAGCCTTAATGTTCTTTTCTGAGTCTTGGTTGTCAGTTGCAGTCATGCTTCCCTAAAGCATTATCCCAGCCATCTGCAGACTGCTGACTGTGAGGCAGCAGCCGCTGCCGGTTCCACCAGTTGGATGAACAGGAGCAAGTGGGAGCACGGCAGCATGGCCAGGCCCATCTGATCAGTGCCCTCAAGGCTCCTGTGCCTGCTCTTCTCCTTGCCTCGTGTTCCCCAAGACCAAAGGGAACCTGTTCCAAAAGAACCAGGGAAAATGAAAGTTATCTTTTCCCGCAAATCCAGAAGATATTTGCAAAATGTACTTCTCCTGGAAGGGGTGGTTTTCTAGAAACTGAGCATCAGGATTCCCAGCTCCTTGGGTACCCTACTGTTGCTTCTGACCACGTAAATCCCTTTGGCTGCCTTCCCTGCTTGGCCACAGAAGTGAAATACCTACCCAATGTATGGCACTTACGGACAGGGCAGGTTTTAACAGTTGTAGCCCAAGACAGTTCCTCTAAGGAGCTCTCTGAGGCCATGCAGATCTGTGGGCTCCCTGAAGAGCTGAGGAAACAGGCAGAAAAACTTCTGAATTTTCCCATGTGCTCTCCCATCCCTGGCCATTGATCTCCTCCAAAGCCAAACTTGCCTTGTCACTATCCCTTTGGGGTAGCCTGTACTCCATGAGAAGTAGGGTGGAGGGAACAGGACTCCCTTGAGCAGAAAGGATGTATAGCCTGGCTCTTTCCACTCTTTGTCTCAATGCATGCATATCCATACGTGCACGGCAAGCGGGCACTGTAGAGTCAGTGACAGGCTGCCCATCACACCAACTACATCTACAGGTGGCATCTCCCTCTGATGGTCCACAGCACAAGCCCATTGACTTACAGGACGGAGTGCTGCACCCACAGGCTTGTAAAAAAGGAGGCAGATGAAGAAATGAGCAAGTGAAGAAGGTTCTTGGCTCTCCAACACCTGATTAGCTTACTGTAGCTGACTGGGATGTCTTTCCAAAGGGCACCTTGCTGCAATCTGGAGTTAGTTCTGTGCTCTGATGCAAGATGTTAGTGCTGCTGTTAGGGTTGAAAAAGCCCCCCTGGGAACAGAACCAGGCAGCACTGGGCCAATGAACCCACTGCAAGCTGTCACGCTGTCTCAGAATAACACCTCAGCCTCCTGAGAAGTGTTGCAGGTGAGGTAGCAAAATCCGTCTTGCCCTCTTCTTCTTAACCTTGTAGGAAGTTCCTCTAATTTCTGTGAAAATCTGACTTTTTAGGCTCATGGAAAGTAAAAACCAGGACTTATTTTAAGTAACCTAACCTCTTAGGGATGCTTTCAGGAAAACAAAAACCATTAAAGCACTGACAATTAATACTTCAGTTGACAGACCAAAGGTTAAATCTCAGATCAACGCTCGTGGAAAGCAGGTCATTTCTACTCCGGTAGATTTGCCGTGTCCTGTTCAGTGAGTTATACAGTTCTGTTTACTGCTGTTTGCTCTGGATGGAGCAGCGATCCATACGCAGGGAGGATGGATTGGAACAGTTACCACATCTCTTTGGGGAAGGAACCTGGAACAAAACCAAGAGCTGTTTCTGGCTTCCCCCTTCCGCTAGCCACTTCAGGGAGTCGGGCTTTCTGAGTTCTGGATGTCATGTGCTTACCTGTGTTAAGGTAGTCTGGATATAAATGATGTAAGGACAAGATGTTGGATTAGTCTAGCCAATCCCATGTTCCCAGATGCTCCATCAGGAACATCATCTGCCTTATGACTTAAGAACTTTTGGATAAGGAAGGAACGAAGACAGTTTCGAATGCAAGTCAGACCCATAGTCGTTCCCATCTCCGATGCTAAGCCTTGTCACGATAGTGAATTTGTGGGCACACGTCCCCAGCAGGACCAGAACTCTATTATGCTGGGCACAGCACAAGCACCGAGACCTTTCATGTCCGGAATAGCTTTCAAAGTGTGAGCTTAGGAACATTGCTCCCATGTGAAGATTATTTGCTTATGGCTTTATGTAAAAATCTTTGGACCATGGTATTGTTACTAGAACTGCTCGAGGAAAGACTAATGGAACTACTAATAGCCCATATGGGATGAATCTGTAGAGACAGCAGCTTTGGAGCTACAGGTTTTTAGCAATTGCATGTACCACTGTCTTCCACAGCCATGAATATGCTCCAAAGAGATTAATGGATGTTATAAAAATTATTTGCTGCTGCGCTTTAAACTATAGACTTTACAATCTCCACTTGGATTCTTGATCTCATACAGCAGCTTAACCTTTTGATGTACAGAGTGGATGCAGAGACCTTCAGATTTCTTCGTGGCGTGATGGGAACCGAACATTTTACAACACATCGTTGGGGCTGTGTAAGACCTTTCCAATAGCGATGAGATTTAACAGGTGGACCGTGTCCATCTTCCATAGCTGGTTGCTTTCGGGGACGGGAGGGAAGAGGGCTTGGAAGGCTCGTGATTGGATTAAGCACACTTCGGGAATATTTGCAGCCTTAAGAAGTGTTCTAGGATTACTCTTTCCTTAGCCCATCTGTCCGCAGTGTTAGCTTTCCTATTCCACAGAAAGTAACTCAGCTGCCTGCTGTATGTTTGACTGAAGCAACTTTTTGCCTAATTGCACTTCTTTACCAATCTGCAGACGACTAAGCGTGTGTAGCCTACCCAGACCACTGGAAGCACCCAGCCCGGCACTGGACCAGATATTTTTGTCCCTTCCTCGGGGCTCTCTCGCACTGCCCATCCCAAAACAGCAGCGGACGAGGAGGGCGCCACAGGGGGCTGCCCAATTTTGGCGGACCCCCGAGGGAGCCGTGGGGCTGGAGCCCAGGTGCGACCACAGCAGCACCGCGGGCACCACCGGGGCTCCCCCCCGCTGCCCGGCGCTGTCCCGGCAGCACCTCCCGGCCAACCTCTCGCCTCCTCCGGCCCCCCCGGTGCAGATCCCCCCGCGGCCGCGGGCGGGGCGCGGGTGGCGCCCGGCGGGCCCGGCCCAGGGGCGGCCCCGGCCCCGCCGCCTTTGTTCCGCGCCGCGGCGCCCACGTGGAGCGGCGGCGGCTCCGCGCCCGCGCAGCCCCTGCGCGCCCCCTGCGCGGCGGCGGCCGGGCCGCGGGGAGCCCGCCCGGGGCCTTTCAACCCGGCGGCGGGGCCGGGCCGTGCTGTGCCGCCGCTTCCCCCGGCCGCCGGCTTTCTCATGTTTTATCTGGCCCGCCGCCAGCCAGCTAGGTTTCCCCCCCCCTCTTTTTTTTTTTTTTTTTTTTTTTTTTTTTTTTTTGCTCTGCCTCCTCCCCCCCCCCCCCCCCCCCCCCCCTTTATTTTTTATTTTTTACTTTTTGCACAGCCCCCTCCTGGTTTTTCCACCCACGGGTAAAGGTGGTTTTTCCTCTTTTTTTTTTTTAAACCCTCATCCTAGTTTAGTCCGTGGGCAGGACTCGCATAATAATATTTCCAGTCCCAGCAGCTCACATCACAGACACGAACCCAGGACCGCCCCCCCTCAGTTTTTTCTTCCCAATCTCCCAAATCGCTTTATTATTATTTTTTAAATGATCGCGCTTTTTGCCCGCTGCTCCCGCTGCTGCCGAAATCCCCGGCTTCCCAGGGTGCATGCTTCTGGCAAGACCGTGCAGTGTTCTCAGTCCACTTTCAGTGTGTCTTATCTTAATTTGTCCTGATCCGATCTAAGCGCGATAGCCACCACTTGCTTTCAATTTGTAGGATTTTTTCCCCTTCTCGGTTCGCTCCGACTACCCTCGCAGTGTTTCCCTCTCTGCTCGCATTTCCAGGGTTGCGATCTACTACTCTGCCTTTATTTCTTCTTCTCCTTTTTTTTTTTTAAAAAAAAAAAAAAAAAAATCCTCCCCTCTCTTGAATTGCTTCATGTTACTAACCATTCCTAAATTGTAGGAGAGCTCCATTCCCCCTCCTCTCCCACCACCACCAGCACCACTACCACCATCACCTCCTCCTCCTCCTCCTCCCCTTCTCTTCTCCTTTTTGGCAGCACCAGGACGTCCGGTGTGGTGGTGGCAGCGAGCAGCAAAAGCAGCAAGAGCTCCTTTTGATTCCCCCCCGTTCCAAGGTGCTTTGGAGAGACCCGGTTCAAAGCTGAGCGGCAGAAGTCACGATGAGTGCACAAGGTGAGGGACCCGGTCAGCCTTCCACTGCTGCCCAGGAGCAACCTGCAACCGCAGAGCCTCAGAAGAGAGGACGAGGCAGACCCAGGAAGCAACCACAAGTCAGTATTCGCGTAGAGGCGTAGAGCCGCAGATCTGTAGTGTTGTAGGCATGTAACCATGTACGTATTGGTGCAGGCGGCCGGGGACGGGGCGCGGGGGCTCCCGGCGGGGCGGGCAGCGCCCGGCGGCGGCTCGGGGCGGGCGGCGGGGCCGCGGAGCCCGCCCGGGGCTTTCGCTATTGTGCGGCCGGCGAGCCGGGGCTTTTCAATGGGGACGGGGAACATGGAGCGGCGAGGCTCCGACCAACCAGCGCTCGCTGGCTCCTTTCGAGCTGGGTTTGAAATTGCGAAAGCGGCGAGCGGGGGGAAACGGGGCTCGCCCGGGCTCCCTCCTCTGCGAGCCCTCGCAACGTCTCAGCGTGTGTGTGTGTGTGTGTGTGTGTGTGTGTGTGTGTGTGAGTGTGTGAGTGAGTGAGTGTGAGCCTGTGTGTGTGTGTGTGTGTGCGCTGTGTGTGTGCTGTGTGTGTGTGTGCGTGTGTCGGGTCCCACCGGGGCTGCTGCCGCCTCCGAGCTTGACCAGCCCAGCCCCTGACTGCCCCTAGATCCTGGGGTTGGGGGAGAGGAGGGTGTCTAGAAAGTCGCATAGGGTTGGCTTTTTTTTTTTTTTTTTTCCCTTTTCTTTTCTCTCTCTCTCTTTTTTTTTTTTTTTTTTTTTTCCTGGCGTCCCCCCCTTCCCCACCTCCTCCCTCACCCCCGTCATCGTCTGCAGAGAGGTGCCCCCGTTGCCGACGGAGGTGGGGGAGGCAGCCGGAGGGGGCTTGCCCTGCATTTGCAACACCTTTTGCCTCGGCTGCGCCGCTTTCCCAGGCAGGTCGAGGCGCGGGGACGGCGCCCGGCTCCCCCCGGGGCCCCGAAGGGGACTCGCAGGGCTCCTCTCTGACTCGCCAGACCTCAATCCGCGCTAAGGTTGCCAGATTCGCGCATTATCCCCCCCCGCCTCCCCATCTCATCCCGTCCCGTCCCGTCCCATCCCACCCCATCCCTCCCGAGTGCCGCTGTCGCACCGCCCGGCACAGCCGCTCCCGGCTCTCGGGGCTCCTCGGGGGCTGCCCGGGGCTCCCCGCGGCCCTTTCCCTGCCTCGGAAGTCGCGGCTGGAAGTAGTAGGGCCGCCCGGGGAGCCGCATTTAAAAGCCAAGCTTCCGCGGAGCTTTAAAACCTCTCGCCCCATTCATTCAGCATCAGCGCCAAGCCCCGAGAGCCTGCGAGGGGCTTCGGGGGCACCCAGCGAGCCGAGGAGCTGAGCCCCGGGCCGGGGGCAAGCCGGTGCCGAGCCCCCGGTGTGCTCCAGCAAATTGCACAGAAAGTAAAAATTATTATTGTTTTTTAATTATTCTTATTTTTTTGGAAAGCCGTGCGAGTGGAGCCCCTGCTTTTCCCGCTCTGCCCTCAGTGCCACTCGCTACCCGCCCGCGGCTCCGTGCCCAGCATCAGCCCAGCACCCTTTCCTCCCCCCCCATTCACTCCCCATTTTTTTCCCTTCTGCCCCCTCCACCCCTTTTCCTTTTTTTTTTATTTTTTTATTTTTTTTCATTTGAATGTATGGCAGAGAAAGCAAGCCGCGTCTCCTTAGCCGTGCTCAGCCCAGCTGTGCGCTGCCTGAGCCCCTCTGCAGCCTCCCCAGCCTGAGCCTGCACCCTGAGCCTCCCCGGGAGTGGAAAAGCTGAAGGGTTTTAAGCTGGTCTAAGTTAACAAACCGCATTGAATTAGATTTGCCACCTCCCGTAGTCCGAGGGAAATGTATGATATTGAAGGCTTGAAGAGTTTTATAGTATTTGTGATTCGCTGAATAAATATTTGGAGTCCGAGCTCGTAGTAATTCATAGGCATTTTTAAGGACTGGTTGTTTGCTGTCAGCCAGAGGAGTTAGTTAACAAAACTCCGAAAACAATCATTGCTTCTGCTCAGTCATTTTAGATTTTTGTTGTTGTTATTGTTTCAGATATTTTACGTCCTCGGGTTTTTTTTTGGCTTGCTAGTGCTCCATTTCAAGAAACTTTAGCGTTTGCATTTTACTCGGATCAATTCTGTTTGCAATAGGTGTGAATGTAATGCAGAGCTCAGAACTGCAGAAAAAATCCCCCCAAATTATTTGTACCCTTGAGAAAGAAAATAGTCTTAAGCTTACTTTCAACTTTTCCAGTAGTTAGCATTGTTTTGTGTTTTGTTTTTTTCAAAAGTGTGTGCTAGTAACTGCATATGATAATTGTATCTTGTTATAATGAAATGCAATTGACATTAAATGGATAACCGTATTAATTTTGAAATAATCATTCTTGCATGAGGGAAACTATGGCCATCTTCTTTTAAAAATGTGTTTTCCCATATAACTAACTTGCTAGAGTATGCAGACTCTTTATTCTTTTTTTTTTTTTGTATGCAATTACAAGGAAAGTTAAAGTCTTTTATTATGTTAAATGCATTTTTTCTTCACTTTGAGTTGTTTAATTTTTCAAGTTGCATTTTAAATACTGTTGCATTTATTTATACTGTTAATTCACGTACTTTAAGTAACTGCTCAGTTTTCTGCTCAGTAATTTATCATTCAGTTCTTCTTGGTTAGCTGTAGCTTCTTGCCACAATAGCATGTTTTCCTGTATTTAGGAACCAACTGGTGAACCATCTCCTAAAAGACCAAGAGGAAGACCCAAAGGAAGCAAAAACAAGAGTCCCTCTAAAGCAGCCCAGAAGGTGAGTTTATTAAAGAAAGAGAGTTCCTAATGCTGTTTTTTCATCAACTGGTAGCAAAAGAGCCAGTCATTTAGGCTGTGAACTGTGGGGCTGGGACCCTTTCAATAATGGCAGCTACATCAGAGAGCATATATTTTGCATTTGTAAGATTGGAAATAACATGCTGCAGGACGACCCTAGGCACAGAACCCATAAGGGCAGCTTGCTTTTTGAATAGCATCCAGATTAGTGAAGTAACATAGTGCATTCGATGCATTTACTGAGATCTCCTGTACCTAGTGAGGAGATCAATATTAGGGATATTATTTGCTTGATTAAGGTTTTTGAAAGAGGAAGATTAATCTCTTACCCACTTGCAGACGTTATTACTACAGACCAAATCTGTGTATTAAAGCTAAATGTTTTGTCAAACAGGTTAATTAGAAGAAAATCCAATTATGTGTTGATGGAAATAAGTGCATATATTGAAATTTACAGCTTTAAAATGTGATGGTAAAATAAACTGTGAGTTACAGTAAAAGCCTACCATATCTTGTTTAGCAATCACTTTCAAAGAGTTTTTTACTTGAAGTGCTATTTGTCTTCTGAACCACTACTTCTGTTTGGGGATGGGAGCAAACTTGTGTTATGGTGGCTCTGAATGCATCCAGCTATAGTACAAGCTCACTGGAGTCCTTCCACTTAGTGCATGGACTTCAGATCACAAATACAATGTGAAAACGTGCCTTAATTTTATTGGAACTTGGGAAAGCTCAGCGTCAGAAGACTGTGCTATCAAGGCAGATAATACCTTGCTGCATGAATTATTTTAGTGAAGATAAATAGTTGTGTATAGGCTTGGAAAGAAAAACTGGAGTTTTGTTTATGTTGATGGTTACACAGCAGTTAGCATTAATTTACAGGTACTAAATTGGAAACAAAAGCTTGCAAAATCTGTTAGTGAACTGTACTGCTTAAGTGTACCAGTATCTTTTAAGTAGATCTTTGACAAAATCTGTGTGGAAGATATTTGTAGTCTCATCTAATTCTGGTTCATTTTTCAGTATGCCTATGGTCCTGACCATATTAAGTTTGATAGTTTTCAGTGTTATAAATTACTATAGCAACTCCTGATAAATATTAAATTATTAGGGGGTGACTGTGATTTCATGTCTGTTTTGTTACAAGTGTTTTCAGCATTTGTTTGAGGGACGTTTTCCAACTCCATTCAAATTTAAAATAGTTTTTTTTACATTCTCAGCTGGAAAAAATGGTATATTCTGTCAAGAAGTTCATGAATTAGTAAAAATGCTTTACAAGTTAAGTATTTAAAATATATCAAAGCCACGCTGCAACCTAGTGAGCTTAAAATGTTGATTTTTTTTTTCTTTATATAATAAAAATGTTCCTCAGATTCACTTTAAAAAAGTTTAAATTTCACTCTTCAAAAGGGAGAGAGCAGTTTTTTATTAGTCTAGTAAGTCCAAATGTGAGCTTTAGTATTTTAAATATTACTCTTAGGAGTGTTGGCTTTCCTAGGAGAAATATTTGTAATAAGATTAAATTTTAAGTAATTCATAGAAATGTGTTTTCAAAAGATATTTCTAAAAGAAATATTAACATTATTTCACTTGTATGAGTGATTTGAAAATCAGTTTTAATGGAAAATAACTTAAAATCTTTCATACATATGTAGGCATATCAATTCAAGAGCTTTCCAGATGATTCTGGTACATACAGTTGTTTTTTTTAATCTAATTTATGAACTGAGCAATTTCATTGTAACGTTTTGATTTTCAGAATGCATCAAGTTACTGCCCTAATTAAAGCAAACTTTTTTCGGGTGTTGATATTATAAAAAATTGACCAAAGACCATATGTCTTTTTAGCATTAAAAATCTTTGAGGGGTATGTAATTACAACTTTTATTTGTTTCTAGGTTTATAGATAAAATATGTAAATGTTTGATAAATCTCCTAAAACATAAAACAGTGATAAAGCCTTCTTAGAAAAAAAAGTCAGTGATCACATTTCTGATAAATATTTTAGCTCTTTTTCCAAATAGATAATTAACCCTCTCTAAAATGGTTCAGCTTCTCACCAGACATCTCAAAGCATCTAATACCAATTTTGATAGTTTTTCTACCAGTAATAAGGATGGAAAGGTTTTGACACTTTTTTCTTTTTTTTTGACACAGAAAGCTTCATTTGCTGATGAGGGTATCACCTCTTAAGAGAGTGATCTATATGTTTGATTTTGTGATAAACATATTTACACATCCATAGACACACATATATTTATTTAAGGCTTTCTATCCCCTGTCTCAACTCTCAGAAACAGAAGTGGGCTAACTTCACTTCAGACCCTGTGCCTGTGAACATGAGTCCTATACATGCAACTGGAAATTGCTGGAATTTCTGCAGAATAGTGTGTGGCCTGTGTTTTTCAAAGTGAGCTCATTGAAATGTTCTGTAGTGTTCACAACATGTAAGATAAACGCACGCCACTAGCACCCACCGAGCAGACATGAGAAGGCACTCGTGATTAATTGATGGGGTGTTCTCTTGCAAACCATTACACATCACAATTAAAAATGCATTGCACAAACTGGCAGTCAGTTAAAAATACTCGAGTGCTGGGGCTTTGTTTTGTTGTGCTTCAAAAAGCAAATGCCCTTAAATCAGTTGAGGGACACTTTTACCCTAGAAGCTGATTGTGTTGTGGATTTAAAATTTCTTGGTTCATAGGACTTTTTTTAAATTTTTTTTTTCCTTTAGCTTTCAGAGCTTGTGTTTGGTCTTAGTAAACTGGCCTTGGGGCATCTGAAAACAAACTGTGCTTGTTAGGAAATTAGCAATGTGAAACTTGACAATGCATACAGAATGTTGCAAGACCAATTGGATAGCTAATAATGTGGCAATTACTCTAATTTTAGGTAATACACGATTTAAAAAAAAAAAAGGTTTGCATATCACACATACCTAACTTACGTTACACAAAGGGTAAACTGCATTTTATGGAAAAACAAATAATTTCTCAATTGTTTAATTTTCACGAACAGAACGAACACAACATGTTAGCAGATGAGAAGAGAGACACAAAAAGGCTCTTATCACCTTGTACTTGAGTCTCCCCAATCAGACTGTTATTCAAGTCTGTGTCTTCAAACAAGTCATTCTGTTATTCATTTAAAATATTTGTAAAAAATTAGCAAAAAAGGAAGCTTTTATTTTTTTTTTCTTTTTTCTAATGAGTAACTTGAGTTTTTGTGGAAGGATCATAGTAAGGATGTTCCTTTATAGTTTCCTGGATGTTGTGTGCTTGAATTTTATTTGTGAGGCTAAGTTGTGTTCCCAGCCCATCACATTTCCCTGAAGCATTCAGGGGCTTCTCTTTGTTTAGCTCCTGTATCTGGGCTTAACAAAAATACTGTATGGGCATAAATGCTCTCCTGTTTGGAAGGAAGAAACACAATTGTTGGGTCCAAAAAAAAAAAAAGGTAGGGGGATAGTAACTAATGTGTGTTTGTTTCAAAAGAAAATGTCAATGGGATATCCCAGGAATATCCAAAAATAAAGTATTTTTTGTAAAATTCGCCTTCAGTTTAAATGTTGTGGCATTTGTTGTAGTTATTCATGTAGTGAACTTAACTAATGGTACCTCTAGATCTTGAAATACCATTCTCCAGAACTTGTGGAGTCTCTCTGTGATGACTCTTACTACTGTTTCCTCACTACATGGCCAGAGTTTGGTATGTAGAAAACCACGTCCCTGAGTTAAGCAGTCCAAAGGTAAAAAAAAAAAAAAAAAAAAAAAAAAAAAAAGTGCACGTGACCAGGACTCTGCCCTAAATTGGTTCATGAAAATCTATTTGGCTTCTCCATGCTTCATTCATTCTCACTAGCACCAGTCATAAAAGGCTTAAAGGGAACACAAGTTCAGATTTATCAAAGGATTGTAGTATGGTTGTTGTACCTAAAGAGTAAGGGACCACAAATGACCACAAATGTTTTGAGCAAGATGGGTTAAGCAGGAGAAGACTGACTCCCGTTTAGAGTTAAAAGGGGTAAAGCATGACGTGAAAAGTGTGATATATTTGTATCCAGCCAATGCTTAAGTTTCTTCTAAGAAAGAAAAATTAAGAGCAAAAAAGAACTTTTTTTTTTTTTTTTTTTGGTGGGAGAGGGATACTTCCCTGCACAAGCTCCATTGGCATGGTTTTGCAGCAGTGATCCTCATGCTGGGACCTAGCAGTTGTTCCACCAGACCTCAGTGCTGGCACATTTTATCTGAGGTTTTCAGATCATTTTGCACAGTGGCTAGAGTTCCTAAAATTTGGACTCTGTTGCATTCACAATCTTCCTTGACAATAGATAGATATCTGAAGAGCACGTTCAATTATTTATACCTGTCTTGTCTTGTTTATTGCCTTCAGTAGTACAGCCTCAGCTCCTGCTCGGGCTTGGCCCAGTTAGGCAGCAGGGAGATGCAGGGATGCTGGGCAGTCGGGTACCACGGAGGGTGACGGCAGCCATTTGGAAGCAGGTTTTGGTGGCCTCATGGTAGAGGGCTTGGATGAGTTGCAGATCTGTCTGGGGACAGGTTAACGACATGGCAGTGGTTGGAGTGGCCATCTTTCTCACCCAGGGCAAAAATATCATTTCCTGTGCCGAAGAACAAGTAAATCCAGTTCTGTTCCTAAAACGTGACACAGCAACAATGAAATGTTTATGTGAGTGGTTTTAAGAAATTTCGTATTTTTCCATGAAGTATCATAAACTTGGGTTTGATTACGGCCCCAGCCCTTCTTTAAGTTGGGTGGTTTTGTGTCTCAGCTGTCCAGAACAAGAGGATGTCTCCTAGCGCAGCACGAAACGCTCAGAAAAGCCTGACCAAACACATCTCAATTTCAGAGAGTGCTTTAGAGGATTAAGGCAGCAGCTTCCTTTCTGACTAAGCTATTACAGGCTGCTGTGGGTAAGGTGGCTGAGAGCACTTGCATCTTGCTGCCCAAATAGGAATCCTTGTGATCTTTGGGTGGCTTGAGGCTCTCCCTGGATTTGTTCCTAGCTGCAGAGGCAACACTTCAGCTAAAGCAAAGAGCCAACGGACTAGCATGGTTTAGATTATGTAAATACCTATTTAAGAGGAAAAGCAAAGCTTTAGCACTTACGTGTTCCTGTGCTTATTAATTACTCGAAAATGATATGGAGAAACATTGAATTATTTGTCTGATATGCAATAAAACCTTTCTTCATGCACTGACATTAAAAGACAGCCTTGTGGGAGAAAATACGGGTTAGGTTTGCAGAATTCAAACTAAAATAAAAAATAAAAAATAAAAAATAAAAAATAAAAAATAAAAAATCCAGATGGGAAGGGGGGAATATTTTCCTAAACTTCACGCCTGTATTATCACCGCTGGACTGCCACTACTCCTTCATGGTTGTTCCAGGAGTGTTTTGTCTTTCCCTTCCCTCAGAATGGAGATAAAAACATCCACTCGGGAGGTTCCCGTCGCTCACTTTCTGCAGTTTAGTCTATGGAAACCCTCCTATTTACTTACAGAATCGCCCTGTACCAGAACATAGTATCTGGCATGCCCCGCTGTTTGCTCAGCTCACCTCTGGGAAAGGTTTGGTTTTGATAAGGACTCTGGAAATGTTTTTCTTCTGACATGAGGTGGAAATCACATGCAGCAGGGATACAGCGCCGTTCAGTGCAAAGGGTCCCTGCTGCAGGGGCCAGGCACCACCGGTGGCTGGAGCAGCTCCTGGCACCCCCGTGCTGTGCTGCGGGGTAGACAGTGGCACGAGGTTTTGCTCAGCTCCCCCAGCCTGTCAGGGGTTTTGCTCAGCTCCCCCAGCCCATCAGGCAGCGTTGAGTGCCCTGGTTAAGCTTACAGCTCTTGTCAACCTTTGGGTAGTGTTAATTGGTAGAGCAAAGTGGGTTCAGTTTCCAAAAAGTTAGGTTTTGGCGAAGGGTCTTTCAGTGAATACAGAAGAAAATAAATGGTGTTTATCCTTTCACAGCGTGTCAGGTGCAGATTTGTTAAGAATAATTTTAGCTGATCTTTTTTTCTAGGCTTACGTCCCCTGTTTTGAAAAATAAACATAAATGGGACACACATACACAAAAATAAATTTTCAAAACTAAACACCTTTTTTGCATCCTTCAAGTAATAAGACTGGAAAAAATGAACACTTTAAAAGGCACCAAAACTCTGAAATAGACAGCTCCAGTATGTAGCAAATGCACTTTAACAAGTATTCTCATAAGAGGGTTTCACCTTACATGTAACGCTGGTATAAACGATTAAAGAGCAAGTTTACTCTTTTAACAAGTCTGAGTGATAATTTTGCCCTTTAGGAGTGTGAATTTTATTTTTCACAGCTTTCTTCTTGGTGAGATATTTATTTCAGAGTAATTGCATTTAACTTGTGGTACATTTTTTTTGGGTAGAGATTCCTCCTCTGCTTCCTTGTCTCAGGTTCTCTTGCAGAGGGATCTGCTTTGCCTAGCATTAGGTGACAGTGTCCATTACAGAGATTGATCGGCGAGTGATTTATTTAATGAGACAGCTGATTTCTGAGGGCAAATCAAATATGCATACAGTTAACTGGAAGCAAAACAGCTCATGGAAATTTGGGAGCACGTTTACAGAGTGCATGCTAAAAGTGTTCACTCTTAGGGACTTCTTATGCAGCACAAGTCCTGTTCTCACTGAAGCTGGTGGCAAAATCTTGATCACCCTCAGTGAGACAGGATTATTTACCTGACAAGGTGTGTGCATGGGCAGAGCCCATCTAGAGAAAATAACTTGTAGTTCTCATTTTGAGGCCTGTAAGTAGTTTCCTATAGTGAGCAAGCAGTGCTATCCACAGTGTCACCCAGTGAGTTTGTGGAAAAGGCTGGTAGCAGAACCCAAATTTCCTTTAAGCTGAGCTCCAAGACCAACTGTTGGGCTTACATAAATATCACTGCTACTTCTAGGGCAGCTTCCATGCTGTTTCCTTAAACCTTGAAAGGGAAGGTCTGTTTTGGAGCAGTGATGGGTTTGCTTAGAGCTTAAGGATGCATGTCTACCTGGAAAAGCTCACGTGAAGCAGAGGAGTTATCTCCCAGTGTCACATTCCCGGTGGCAGTCTGTCCAAACACAATTCATGCATGAACATCATGAGACGAAAAGATAGAATTGTGGCTGCTATAAATTGCTTTTTTTCAGGCTTGAAATGGGCTGTATGTTTTACATAGTACCTTCAGGTGATGCCTGGCAGCCTGTGAAAGGCTAGAGGTGATGCTGTTGGGGTTCTGCAGGTCCCAATCCTCTGTGAACCAGGGCTGGGGGCACGCTTGGGTGCAGGTGAAGGCATTCACATGGGCTTGGAAATGGCAGAACAAAACAACGTTATCACCTTCTGACAGAAAACCCATAGAGCAAGGGGGAGGCTTGGTGCCACCCTAGAGATATACTTATGGATAATGTTACAGGAAAGGAGTTCCTAGTTAACCAAGGCTGTTAAACAATGCTGGGGTATAAAACATGCTGTGTTTCTTTTCCCTTTACAGAAAGCAGAAGCCACTGGTGAAAAGCGACCCAGAGGGCGGCCCAGAAAATGGGTAGATATTCCACTTCTAATCATTTCATTTATTTTCTGTGTTATAAAGCATGTTATAAAATCCATTCTCTAAGGGAACAATCATTTCTGCTTTGTTTGTGAAAAGAGCATCCATCTTCTGTGTCTGTTCTGGTGGATTGACTAAAGGGTTAAGATAGCAGAGAAGTTAACCACAGCTTCCTACCTTTAGACTCTGGTAGTTTGCTCAAGACACTTTACTATTGAATGTTTGTCGGGAGTGAATATTTATGTGTCTCTTATCAGCATGGAAAGGGGCACAACTCTTCCTCCAAAAAAGAGTAACAATGAGATAACTTGTTCAGTAATGGAGTAACAAAGGTTAAAGGGGCACTATCAGACATCGGAAGGTGATTAAAAGAGGTGATAACATTCAGATGTAGTTTGTACAAGGTAACGTTTAAAAAATCAAAACGTCTTTGTCCCACATTCCCTGGAAATACGGTGTATTTTCCTTAAATCTGGTGAGAAAGAGCAGAAATGAACAGCAGGATATCTGCACTTAGAATTAAGCTCTTTTGTTCTTGGCCATCTGTGCTTCATATAATTATAGTGACAGTGATATGTTTCATTCAAAGTTTCCTCTTTTCCTGGCCACTTACTCTGTAGATGTGGCCATGGACAAATGTGCTTTGATTCTTTGGCTGTGGAAAGATCTCACTCTCAGGTACCTGAAATGCTATGTTGTCACTGATGTCTACCTCTCGTGTGTATGTATTTCATGCAGAAATACATTTTCAGAGGATGTGAGGATACCACTTGAAAAATTAGAACGTGTGGAAGGTTGTGGCCATTTGCTCTGTCATAAGTTTACATTTCTGATTTCCCTTCTGTAGTTACCTTTTCCTTTTTGTGGAAAACCTTCTTCTCTAAACTTCTTTTTTGAATCCTTCTGTCCCCATCTCAGTTTTCCAGTCCTGTCATTTTTCCCCTCCTCTGTTCAGTTCTTTTGGATGGATGTTAACACTGCTGTCAACGTGTATGCTTCTGAAGGCTCAACTGGCACCAGAAGGTCATTAAAACTGCAGCTGACATTCTCCAGAGTATCAACAGCTAAACAGAGGAGAGAGGGCTCTAACAGTCATGTTAAGAACTAGTTTTGTAGCGTTGTCCAGAGATAAAGTACCCCAGGACACCTCTGTAGTTCAGCAGAGAAAACAGACCCATCCATACCAGATGTGTTGTTTGTGCTTGTAGTTTTTAGATCAAGCAGATTTGAGGTACATGAAGCAGCTCCTTGGCATTATGAAACAAGGTGGCTTCCTCAAACCTACCTGTGCTGGTGATGTTCCCAAAGGCGGTTTGCAGCAGGCACATGCCAAGTGCAGTAAAACATAGATTAGTTACTGGCTGCTTCCTCCCGTTCGGTTTGGAGCTTGCACATGTGGATGCTAAGTGGTGCTGGCTTGATCCTCACCTTGGGTGCAGTCCCAGGGGAAGCAGCAGAAATAGCTGTTTTATGAGAGTAATTTATAACAGGCAAGCCATCTCCACTGAATTAGAAATGCATGATGGTTGAATAGGGATGGCTGAATAGCTTTGCGAAAAGGAGAAACATAGCAGTGTGAAAAGTTAAAAGGTTTTATCTCCCAAGTGCTCATAGTCAGAAATTAAGGTGAGTTTTCAGTGGAAGGGGCTAAGTATAACAATTGTGGCGTGTTTAGGTTAGAATGTTTCCCTTTTATTTTTGTATCTTTATGGGGAAGAAAGAATAGGCAGTATCAGGGAAGCATTAATTTCAATATGGGCTGGTTTGGGATGAAGAATCTGATTCACAGAAATGGGAGTTATTGGCTATTTAGTAGGCATACGCATTACTTTGTTATGAGACCCATAGTTACAAGAGTTGCACTCATTTCTTTGAAACTAAGGCGTATTCTCAAAGTCCTTATTGCTTTCCTGTTGTGTCTGTTGGAAGCATGGTCTTTTTATTTGCTTCTTCCAGTGGTGTGATTGCTTCTTGTGGTTTTCAGAGATAATACTCATATCTGCAGCTTGCATTGAGATAATTTTGTAGACTACAAAACCAAGTGTGCCTTTTTTTCCTCTCTTTCTTCTCCCTTTCCAGTTTAAATTAGGTTCAGGGTTCTTTCTCTCCTCATGGTGAAATGGAGAGTGATACTATGCTCCAGAAATACAGTTAAATTATTACAAGCCACTATGGTGCCAACTGTAAGTTTATAAGTGAAATCAAAGAACGATTCTATCTAAAAGCAGATGGCACAGTATCATCCTCTGTCTCATGTATTCAGAAAACCTTCCGTCTTATCACCCAAACTTCACTGAAGTCCTTAATGATTATTTTCTTCCTTAATCCCATTTTATTTCTGTATAACCTTGATGATAACAGTTCTTTTTCAGTTAAAGTAAGGGCTGTTTGGATTTTCTTTTTCTTGGAGAGGGCAGAATTCTGCCTGGCAGGTATTTTCCTAAGTTTGTAACCCTTTTTTGCAAGTCTGGAGGTTCAGTGTCATATGTTGTTCATCAAATTGTAAAGTATTATTTCTGCTGTTTCCTTCAGTATGCGCACGCAGAGACATATGAGCTAACAGACCGCTGCAGAATTCCAGTAGCTGGTCTTTCTGCCGGTTCAAATTAAGTATTTAATGTTTGTGACTCGCAACGTATTTATTTATTTATATATTATTTTTTAGAAGAGACATAAATCTTCCTGACTGATACAAAACTGGGAAGGGGGGAGGGAGAGCCCTAGTGAAGAAGGCAAGGAACCCAGTTTATCGCAGGCTTATGAGACATGCGGTGATTTTTTCAGAGCATTAAAGAGTGCTTTGCAAAGCTGTCAAGGAAAAGTAGCCCCTTGTAAGTAGAGCAGACAGTAAAGAGTGACAAACTCTTCTGAAAATAAAATACTCAGCTACATAGAAGAGCTTTCCAAATGTGAAAGGCTAATTGAATAAAAATCCTGAAGGTAATAAGGATCACACAGATGGGAAATGAAAATATTTGGAATCAGAAACACAGTGTCTGCTGCTGGAGAACTCATCTTCACTGTAAGTTGCTGCACATGTGTGAAATGCATTGAAGGCTGTGAGTCCTATTAATTGGGAGGGAGGTAAAACTCTTCATGACCTTGGTACTCTGTAATTTTAGAGATTTTAGTGCAGGAACATGTTCTAAGCTCTTTGGATGCATCTGCATTAGCATCTTAGGTCAAATGGGGAGTGTGCTATGAAAACAGATCTCCTAGTTGTCCCCAGGTATTGTTTGCATTGCAGAGCTCATGGGCTGGATTCCTTTCTAATGAAACAAAATTGGAAGACCTGCTCCCATTGTACACCTAACACAGTCCAGTAGGCAGTCAACCCATAGGGCTAGGCTAAAGCAAAATAAAAACCTCTTGAAAGGTGCCTGCTATGGAGTTTGGTCCTCAGAATCAGCCTGTTTTCTGCTGCTGGTCCATGTTGTTTGCTAGTGCAGAAATAGCCTTTGCTGCTCAGAAAAGGCAGGTAAAGCAACCTGTTTTTTATTAGCAGAATTATTTTATGTATAGGTATAAAGTCATATTCATAAGCATGCCCAGAAATCACTGGAAGGTTTGTCTTGACTTCATCAGTGCCAGGCTTACTCCACTGGGATCCAATGCTGCTTCTTGTGGAATCAGCAAAGGGTTTTGTCAGTGGCTTCACATACAAAGAGCTCACAGTCAAAGATATTTCATTTCATTTCAATTTCATTTTTTTATTTGTGTATATCTAGAAGTTGACTGAAAGTATCATGGAAGGAGTAGAGCAGGAGAGTGATGAGTCAATTATTCTGCTGTTTGTTGTGAGGAAATGCACTGAAAACCCCTGGAAATTTCATAGACTTCTAGAGCTCCCAGGCATCAGTTTAATGGAGAAACCTGAAACCCAGTTCTGAAGTTTATGCTTTAAAGGATGTTTGTATTTTATTTCCATTGTTTTTGTTATGTCTTCAGATAGATTCTTGGCATTGTCACATCCACCTTGTTTAACCTGAACCACAGATTCACTGTGGCATGGCAGAATTGCTTTAAAAAAAACAACAAGGAATAGCCCGGAGCTTTTCACAGCTTTGAAGAGGACTTTGTCAGGGAGGAGGGGGGACTGATGCCATTCCATGAAACTGTTTTAAAGGGTGGAAAGATGTGGTTCTGGATGATCGTAACAGCAGAACAGAATCAGTTGATTTCCAATGACAGGACGTGCATATAAAGCATCTGTGTGCTCACCCAGTCACTGACACCCAAGTAGGAATTGTGGCTTGTTCAGAAAACCTCTCTGTCTTTCAATAAATCTGTTTTGTCCTAGATGGTCTAGATAGCACATTTCAGTTTGCTGGAAGATACAAGATAACCAGAAATGAACTTAATTTCCTTAAGCAGGAGTTTTAACTGATCCGATCAGGATTAGCTAGCTGTTACAGTATTTCTGAAGCTCAGGTTTTCCCCTTTTTAACGAGGGCAGAATTTCATTTTATACTCAAAGTCAGTTTAAGTTATGCCAAGGCACGTTTAAAAAATCATTACAGAAATGCTTTTTTTCTGCAAAGTGTTTCCTCAGATTATTTCCCGCTGCAGTTTTGACATAGCTGACATATCAAGCTGTAAGCATGGAGCATAGGAGACGTTTCTGTTCCAGCCATTCCAGGAGGCCTGAGCCAGACTGAGGGCTCCTAATCCTCCTTCACCTGCAAGACTTGGAAAATGAAGTTCTGAATTTTGAAGAAATACATATCCAGAGACCCCCCTGCCTCAGATTCTTTATAATCTAACAGGAATACCAGAAGAGCCATCAATGTCTTGAGGCTATTTCTTGCCTGTAACGAGTCTTTGCAAACAATTATTTAGCTAGAAGTTTCTCTCTGGCAATGCCATGCTATGTGATGTGCTTTTTAACCAATTTTTCTGGTTTCTCACTCAGTGCAGTCATTTTTGTCTCATGTAAAGGTGTAATCTCAGAAGCATGCAGGCTTCTCCTCTGGGCAGTGGAGAAAGGTGCTGTG